TTGCGGAATAAAGAAACGCCTGCAAACAAATCACCAATAAATAACACTGATTTTTGCAAAAAAGAAACAACCAAGCCGCTATCTACCGCCGTTCATATTTTTCACTAAGATGAGAAAAAAGCATAAGTAATCGTATTTTCTTCTATTAAACCGTCAAAAAGCCATATTTGAAATACCAGTTTCCCAAAATTTCCCAGAAATTTTCAGTTTTCCTAATATAAACTGTTTGATTTCACATTTACTGACCATTGGCTTGCGTGTTCATTCTAAGTTAATCTAAGTTATAAGAATTTGTTTCATTTCTGATGAGCAAAATTTATTGTTGGAATAAGATTACCTGGAAATACCATTCAGTATAGCGCTGTGCCAGTCTCCACCAGTTTCGTAAACCTCATGAAGAACCCGTACAACACTTGTAAATGGCAGAAAATGGAAGTTATACAACCTGAAAAAAAAAAACAACGAAAACTTTGGTATTATTATAGAGCAGAATAAGCAAGCTGGAAAAGTCAAAGAACAAATGAGGCTGTTTTCCGCCAGGTTTTTTAAGGGGAAAAATTGAAAAAAGTTACGAATTTTGCATCAAATTAACTAACGCACTTGAAATTTTCATTAAAAGGTATCCGAGCTGTGCGACAGTTGCGTTTCCGGGCAGCACCCAGCGGAAGTCGATTATCACGTCCTAAGCATATCACATACACTCTGTCATCCAACGGAGCTCGAAGAACATGCTGTGACCACCTGTAAAAGACCTCATTTTTGAATAAAAATGCTTTTGAGGTATATTACTGAACGATAATTTACACACTGTGCCAATCCATAAACTCAAATGTATGGAGTTTGAGGAAAGCAAAAGAATGCTATCAGTGGAAAAGTTGCCAGTTGCAAAAGATGGAAATTCAAATTAACAGCTTTTTCAGGTATTCCAGCTAACACACACACACAGCAAAGGATAAATTATCAACACGAGGGAAGGAAGCATTTGAACTTCTTTATGGAATTAAGCGGATGAGAGAGGCGCAAAATGCACAAGAATAGAGAAGCTATCAACTGTAGCATCGTTTTCGCAAACAAAGAAGCAATAAAACAGTATAAGTTCGAAAAAAAAAATAAAAAATGCTTTAAGATTTGCTGATAATGAAGAACTGTAAAAAGAAGATGGGAACCTGGCAATATAAACGAGATCTTCCTTGTCGTAAAAATCGAGCACATCTTTATTTGTATGCATTGGTAGGATTGTTTGATGCTGATATTTCATACGTAGAAGTCTAGAAAAAACAGAAATGAGTGTTTTCTTGCTACAACGGTTCTTAATTATACTTTTTTGCAAGAAATTTCCATACTTTTTTCTTAAAAAATCGAAGACAGGATAGAATGAAAACAAAATGATTTAATTTCAAGATGCTGTTAAGATGAAATTACGAAGATGTGGAAGTTGAGGGCAAAAAAAAAAACGAAATTGTCGGCTGCATCGATACGAGAAAAAAATAACAGTGAGAGGTCAAGGTTAAAAATTAGGGAAATATACTATTCAGAGAATGTAAGATGATTTTTCTCACCTGGTAACAGCAGCACAGTTCGGATTCTCCTCGTCGTAGTTTACAATCGACAAATCGAACGGATCTCTACGCCGTAGGTTTTCCTGAAAAAGACCGGTTTTTATTGCCATTTTCAAAGGATGTAACTGTTCAGGAGCTGTTTATTGCTGGGCCAATGCGAGAAAGTAAAATTCGATGGGCAGACCGTATTGCTCGACAGTCCATGCTGTGTATTCGCAGTTATACCAGGCTTTTCGGGGCTTTTTTCCCAGTAATATCAAAAAAAAAGCCTACTTCAATGATAAATTCAAGTTGAGTGGCAAGACGAGAAGAGAAATCATCGAACTCTTTCGCAATAAATTGACAGTCTATGACGATTCGTGGCTTTTCGTTTAGACGCAAAGTTTTCCATGCTGCTGCTCCCTGGATATGCTTAATTCCTAGAATCAAACAAAGAAAATTATTTTTAAAATATTTTCTAATATCATTTCAGGTTGAAATGTTCGATAAAGCAATCTCTAAACTTCATTCCTTATTCTAGCCTTCAGTTTATCTCCAGTAAAAATAACACCCCTAAGTCACTAAAGCCTTGGCAAACCACTTCTGTCTGAGGACTCATTGAGCTGGTAATCCCTTCGGAAGACGAAACGAACCCGAAATCACTAGGTTTAGGCCGACCATCAGGCAATACAACATTTTTTTTCGGGATACACGAAAATAAAAGATATTCTTGGAAACAACAATCGTGCAACTTACTCCGAGCATTGCGTGACGGATTCGAAGTAACTAATTCATACATCATTGGTCCGTAGCCCATTGCACCCGATTCAAATCTGGAACGCTAGAAAAACACACATATACATGTAAATTTAGCTAAACAGCCGTTTTTTTAGCAGCAATATTAAAAATTCTCACTTTGCTGGGTCAATTTTTGAAAAATACTAGGCTCCTCGCAGAAAAAAAAAAACATCTGTAGCAATTATCAAGATCGCCTGAACAGTGCGAAGTTTCGCCATTAGTGATGGCATGCATTCCTCGTCTCTCTGGTGCATGTTTCCACTTAAGTA